AATATCAGTTTCTGTCTTGGGATCTGTCTCATACACATCATTTATATATGCTACTATTTCTTTCTTCATGGGTTTCTCAAATTTCTTATACCTTTGTTTTTCATATTCGATTTGTTCCACTCTTCTCACTTTATCAGCTAGCTGAGCCATGTCATTTAATGGTAAATTAACTAACTTTTTCCTAATCGAGAATTCTAAATCTGCAGAGGCCATTCTGACTAATTCATATTCAGGAATTTGAGTAAAACATCTTGACTATATCTGTCTAAATCTATTCAAATAATCGTCTATACTTTCATGATTGTATCTCTTTATATTCATTAACTCGATGAGACTTACTTGGGTCTCCCCTCTGAAGAATTACTCATGAAAAATTCTTTCCAATTGCAACCAATTATATATCGAATTAGGTGGCAACGAAGTAAACCAAGTGAAAGCATTCTTAGTTAATGAACTAGGGAAATATTTCATTTTTAATTCTTCACTCATAGCTAGGTCCCCACATTCGATCTGATATCGAGCTACATGCTCGATAGTGGACTCACCAATTTCTCTAGCAAATTTGGTGAATTTAGGTACTTTGTATCCTTGAGGTAATTCTGTCTCGAGAATCGTATTTGGAAAAGGAGAAACAAAGTATGGTTGATTGGGTGGCCTTAATTCTACCCCTTGAGGGTTCATCCTTTGCCCTGGCATGTGGTTTAACTGCATGTTATTTTGATTATACATGTTCTGAAATCCCTCATTCAGATTTCCATAAATATCATTCCTCACATGTTGATATTCGTTCCCCAGATTCTAATGTTGATCATTGTGTCGATTCCTTCTTAATAAATAAGGAGGATTAATATTAGCATTCTAGTTAATGCTGTGAGTGGCATGATTTTCCATTCTCGTTTGTCGAGGTATGGCCAATGCATCCTCGATACGGGCCATTTGGTCTGCTAATATCTCAAAACTAGTAGTAGTGTTTAGAACTAATGGGTTTAGGACTGTAGTCAACTGTTGTGACAACATATTAACCATCTCAAAATTGCTTTCAACCATTTGTTGTCTAAGTACTCCTAATGAGTTACTGGAGATTCCAGTACTGGCATTTTCGATAGTATCGAAATTGGACCGATGATAATCTCTATCGAATGTATATCTCCCATGATCCATATTTATTCTATGATCTATGTTTGGAGGTGTCTGTTGTGTACCTGAATTTTGCACACTCCCTGAATTCTGGGGGGTTACTGAATTTTGAGACGCCCCTAAATTTGGAGATACTCCGAAATTTTGCGGCATACCTAGAGTTTGAAATGTACCTAAGTTTTGAGGCATTCCTAAGTTAAATCTTGAATTTCGTTGTACTAGAGAAGTACCAGCCCCACTCATATTATTAAGCGAAAAACCAGGTGGTCTTACGCTCATATACGGCCCTGCATATGTTGTTATGGGGTTCCCCATAGTTTGCATATTGTTTGGTATCACAGTGCTAGACCCTACTTGAGTATTTACTAATGTACCTGAATTTTGTTCATTACTTACAGGTATCGATATACCCGCAGTTGTCGATACTACAAGCATATTCCCATTATGCCCTTGCCCCCTAGTGTTTGGTGGATGTGAACCATTCAAACTGTTCAAACCCTCACTGTTACTCTGGTTATTTGGTGGATTCTGACTCATTCTTATTACTCGCCCACTCCTTAATCTCATACACTTTCGAACTAACCAATTTTGTGTTTTTTCGACACAAATTCCCCTACCTGGCACGCCAATTTGTTTCTAGTGGAATTTTGATTAATTTCGATTCTTAAGAGGCTTTGATTCTAAGCAAAACTCAACCACGTAGATTCTTTATACTTAGGCTAGCAACTGAATTTCAATCGAAATGCGTATGATAATCGAAAATACCACCGTATAGAAAATACTAAGATTAATAATCGAAAGCACTATTTTTGGTATTTTGTATTTGAAGTACTCGAAATAAGGAAAACAGTAAAGTGACAAATCGAAAAGCAGTACCGAATGTAAAACTGCGAAGGAATGAAAAATGCGGAAACCTCAAATTTGCATTAAGTGTAAACGACAAAGCATCGAAATTGCGGAGATATAAATAACAGGAAATCGAAATTACAGAAATGTAAATAACAGGAAATCGAGATTACAGAAATGTAAATAGCAGGAAATCGAGATTGCGTTAATATAAATGACAATGAACTTAAACGCAGAAACTTAACTTTTATTAAAGAGAAATGACAAGGAATCGAAAATACAAAAACTTGAAGTTGCTAAACATAAACTGCATCAAAGTAAATTACCAGGGAAAATAAAGAAAACGGTAAAGGAAATCAATGAACATGGAAATCCAGATCGCCAGAAACTTCATTATGTTCGTCGTTCTCCGGTAGACTTCTCACTAGTATTCCTGCTCTCTCTGCCAATTCCCCCCCCCCCCCCCCTTCTTCCTTCATCCTTCACTCTATTTATAGGGTATCCTTTAAGCAAGTAACCTCTTAGGAGCAGTTAACGAAAACTGCTACCACGTCCTACGTGCATGTTGCAGTTTCTTCTTCGGTATCAAAACTGCACCCACGTTCCCATGATCTTCGACCTCTGCCACGGTTTAGAAACTGTTTCCTATGTGCGCGTTTAACTGTTCCCCTCTTTATGACCTAGCCGGGATTTCGATATCCACGCAGGTTAGTCTTCCTCTTGATTTTGATCTCTTGATTTCGAGAACTTTGAATTGCTCTTGGTTTTCCTTAACCTTAACATTACAAAATTTTAATTTCTCGAAAACATCCTTCCTTCGATTTTTCGATTCTAATTCTCGATCATATTGCCACATGGTCGTCGAACGTATTTTCCAATTATCTTTCGATTTATCAGTCTTTAACTCAATCAAAATAGTTTTCGATTTTTTTGCTCCCATTTGTTTCTCAATCCCTTTATGGATTTCTCACTAACAATTATATAATGTGTCAATTTTGTTTTAATTGTTATGTGAATCAATTCGTGAACTATATTTATGTATGACGAATTAAGATATTTAACCCATAAAGTTTGTATATTATTTTCAAGCCAAACTCAATACGACAAATTGGATAAAATAGGATGAACTGTCGTCCTGACATAACTTTTTAAGAATAAAATAATCTATTTTGTTTGTATAATAAAAAGTAATTTTATTATTATATTTAGTATTATTAATTAAAAAATACTTAGAATATATTAATATTTATTTGTAAATATTATTAATTAAAATTGTTGTCTTGTTAATCTAAAATATTAACTTTAATTATTAATAACATTTTATATAAAAAACAAAAACTAGTAAGATTATCATTATTGTTTTAATTTATTAATAACAATTAGTAAATTATATAATATATTATATTTACACATAACATTATATATATATATATATATATATATATATATTTAAAATTATATTGTAATTTAAAAATATATCATTAATATTTTATAAGTAATTAATATTTAAAGTTTCCTATCGTTATTATTAATGATTAATATAATACCGATTTATATTAATATAAAATTAATAATGTAAAATATTAAATTGAATTAGTAATTTTATAATTTCAATTATTAATAACGATTTTAAGTTGGAAATCACTAAATTAGTCCAAGTATTATTATTAATTAAAAAAATGTGTTGAATTTATATTTATTGTTAATTTCAATTTATTAACTAATTTTGACTTGATTTATAATGTTGTAAATGCTATAACTAGATCCAGGAAGATAAATACTACATAGAATAATTAAAATTGAAGAAAAGAAAACTCAAACAAAATTTGTTAAAAAAATGACAAATAATCTAGTTGACCAACTTTTCTTAAATTTTTTTCTATTTTAAAACACTGTTTAAACATCTACGTAAGAATTATAATTAAAATTAAGAAAATAAACTTTAACACAGTTCACAAACGAAAAAAATAACAACTAATTTGACTAACATTTCATAAAATATCTTATTTATTTTTAGTATTATTTACAAAGTTTCTTAATCATGATTAATTATATAACCCTAAATAACAAACTGTTAATGAACTTTTCTTAAAAAAAAAAAAGTGTAGAAAAACCTTTTTGATTAACCATTTTAGTATTTAAAATGAAAAGTTTTTTAAAAACTTATATAAACACATACAACGAATACATTTAAATTAATAATAACAATGAATTAGTTATTTCAATTAATAATAGTACAATTTACTAATTTATTGATTTTAATACAAAATTAAATTAGTTGTTAATTTTAATGTTAATATTTTATATTTATTGATTATTTATTATAACATACATTCAAGTTAATAATAATGATAATAATAATAATTTTTAATTTTATTATTCAGTAATTTAATATAATAATATAAATGTTCATAGTAAATTTTAATTTACTTTGATATTATAAATCAATATTTTAAATATAAATTTATAAATATTTTTAATGTTTATCAAAATATTTAGAAAAAAAGAGTCAAATTGGATTATCAAAATAACGGAATTCCGACCAATTGTTTAGAATGAATTTATTAAGGAAAAATCCTCTAAAATAAAAATAAAATAAAAGAGATGAAATATATTATTTATTTAATTAAATTTAATAAAAAAAAGTTCAAGAAAAAAAAGTTGACATAGATCCTTTCCTATCTCTTCTCCAAGCTTTTCTCTGCAGAATAAATCAGAACCATCTATTAAGTTCTGAATCCTCCAGTTTACTGCACCTAAGTCAATGAAAGGATCAGATCTTCCGTTATGTTGACCGGAGATAAATTCTGATGCAGAGAATTCGTTATTTATTTATTTTATAAGTTCTTATTACTATTTTCATTACAATGGCACAAACCGTAATAATCTCAAACTCTAAACCCTGTTCCCTCCACTCTTCTTATTAGTACCTCTCTTGTCTCTCACCTTCACTCTTCACCCTTCACTCCACTCTCTTCTCTGTCGCCGCCAGATCTCACATTCTCACACTCTTCGCAATGCATCACCACTTCCGTCCGGCGACACTGCCGGCGCTCGCCGCGGCGATCTTCCTCCTCGCCACCCTCTCCCACGCGCACAACATATCTCGCATCCTCGCTCAACACCCAGAGTTCTCCACCTTTAATCACTACCTCACTCTCACGCACCTTGCGCCCGAAATCAACGGCAGAACCACTATCACTGTCTGCGCCGTCGACAACGCCGCCATGGCCGACCTCCTCGCGAAGCACCCCTCCATCTATACCGTCAAGAACATCCTCTCCCTCCACGTCCTCCTCGACTACTTCGGCGCCAAGAAGCTCCACCAGATCACCAACGGCACCGCCCTCGCCGCCACCATGTACCAGGCCAGCGGCACCGCCCCGGGCTCCTCCGGTTTCGTCAACATCACCGACCTTCACGGCGGCAAAGTCGCATTCGGCGCGGAAAACAACGATGGAACCCTAACTTCCACCTTTGTCAAATCCATCGAAGAAATCCCTTACAACATTTCCGTTATCCAGATCAGCAAAATTCTCCCCTCGGCAGCAGCGGAAGCCCCTGCACCCGCACCCGCTCAGCAAAACCTCACCAGCATTATGTCCAAACACGGTTGCAAAGTCTTCGCCGACACGCTTTCTTCCTTTAAAGACGCGCTTTCCACCTTCAACGACAACCTCGACGGTGGATTGACCGTTTTTTGCCCCCTCGACGACGCCTTCAAAGCTTTCCTCCCCAAATTCAAAAACCTAACCGCTTCTGGCAAACTCTCACTTCTTGAATTCCACGGCGTGCCGGTGTACCAATCCCTTGCCACGCTAAAATCGAACAACGGACTTCAGAACACCTTGGCCACCGACGGCGCTAACAATTTCGACTTCACTGTGCAAAATGACGGCGAACAGGTCACTCTCAAGACGAGACTCACCACGGCCAAGATCACCGACACGTTAATCGATGAACAGCCTCTCGCTATTTTCGCTATAGATAAGGTGCTTCAGCCGAAGGAGTTGTTCAAGGGTGAGGCACCGGCTCCGGCGCCCGCACCGGAGCCGGCTGCCGCTGACGCTCCCGCCCCGGCGAAGAAGGGGAAGAAGAAGAAGAAGGCTGCTGACGCTCCTGCCGCGGATGGGAATTCCGACGCGCCAGCGGACTCCCCCGGGGACGCCGCCGATGACACCGCCGACGATAGTAACGGCGCCGTTAGACCCGATGGCGGGAGGTATGGTAAGGTTGTCGTTGCCTTGGGTTTGGTATTTGGTTTACCGTTAGTGCTGTGATGTGACTTTGTTGCTTTTTTAAAAAAAAAAAGAGGGTTTTTTTTTCCTGAAGTTAGGAAATAAGGGGATTCGAAGTGATACTCCTTTTTTTCTCTCTCTCTCTTTCTGTGTGTATTTTAATATTTTTATTTTATTATTATTATTATTATTGTATTTGATACTGTTGTAATTTTGGTGGTGAGAAAATGGAAATTGATACATTGTTGTGAATGTGATATGCACGATTATCATTGCTTCTCTTTAAAAATCAATGTTTGGGCTTTTAGAAGAATAGATCTGTCTACATTTGTTAATGTTTTTTCAAAATGAATGTTTTGTTTGGTTATTGGTTTAGTTTTTGAATGTATAATAATTGCATCACGTTGTTGAGTTTTGGAGAACCTCATTCATCATTATTATTCAAAAACTAATTTAACATTAAATTGTAGATTTTAGATAAATTTATTATTAAATTGAACAGCAGAACTTATACTAAATCATAAATTATAACTCTTTTGCATTAATCCTCCTTCAATTATTACTTATTTTGTTATTGTTGAGGGCTTTTAGATTTGATGAAATCATGTGATTGAGTGGACCAAAGAGTGAAACCGACACCAAAGATCGTAGATTTTTAATTCACTATTGTTTAGCTGTTTTTGTTGGATACTTAATAGAATTGAAGTGTTATGTTTGTAATGTTGTGGACAAGGACAAAGGGTGGATCCGTTTTGTCTTGAAGGTGTTTGGTGGTATATTTAAATTGGCTGTAGCAGTAGTGGCTTGTGGTTATGGTCTTCAAATTTAAACTTTCCATCCATTTTAAATTGGTTGTAACCTGGTTTTCCCCGACCTCGGTTGTCTTGATTTTGGATTCTGATAACAAATTTTAAAAGATTCACGAGTTGGAGTTGAATTGGGTATGAGATTTCAATCATTAATAGCATGTAGTACTGTGCAGAAAATTGAATTTGACACACCCAAGTCATTCATAAATTCAATGCTACATGTGTTTACTCGTGACTATTTACGGGTTTAGACAATCTGCAACACTAAAACACTCAAGTCATTCATAAATTCAGTGCCAATTTAAGAAAATATTTAAATTTGGATTAGTCAGATTGACAAATCCAGAATGAATCCAAATCCAAAGACAAGGAAAGTACTAAATAGATAAGAAAGGCTTAAAAAGTATTACTGTTGATGCACAACAGTCAGATTTTGAAACATGAATCACTTTCCTTTTTTCTTTTGAGTTTGGAGATCTGTTAATAGACTATGTTTTCATAATCAATTATTAAGATATTTCATAATTTAACTATCTTAATCAACTTAATATTAAAGTAATAATTTATAATTAAATAATCTGTAAAATTCTTCAATATATTATTATTGATCTATTTTTTTAATTAAACGTTATTAATATTTTTTATTATAATAATACACTATCCATCAACTTCAAATTTTACAATTATCACAATATTGCTCTATCCAAATATTGTGCTTCTGGATTTTGGATTGTGTTTCCCAAATGACTCATATTTAGGTTAAGTGTTAGATAAAAAATAATGATATATTTTAGACTGTCCTAAAAACTTTTAAAATATATATTTTAAATATAAATAAAAATATATTATTAAAATTTTAAATAATATTAGTAAAATTAATTTTAATTTCAGATTATAATGTTTTAAATATGACATGATTTATTTTACAAATTGTTGGAATCTTAATATTTCACTCGTTTGAATATGACATAATGTGTGTAGTGAGAAAAGTGTCAAAATTGGCTTCATAGCATGGCTAATCCAAAAGATTTAAAATAATAATAAAAAAAAAGTTTAGCTACGACAATGGTAAAATAAATTTTTAACACTTACTAATTCATGTTATTATTATTATTATTATTAGATTTATTATTTAATAATTAATAGAATTAATGAATTTCTAGATTATTAAATTAATTTTTATTTTAAAAAAATAATGATGAAAATGAAAAATAATTTTTTATTTTAAAAAATAAATAACTTTATTTATAATTTACCTATTAAATTATACTTAAAATAAAAATTATTTTTATTAATATAATTTAAATTTTAAAAATATACGTCATTTGACACGGGCCCAACGATAGCATGAAATGAGATGTTACCTGTTACTCCTACACTTAACTTCTTTTGCAAGTCCCACCCAAAAACCCTTTCACGCTGGTCCTCACACGAGACCCACACCCACTGACACCTTCATCATTCCTTCACTTTTTACCTATCACAGTTAACACAACACTAATCTGTGTGGGGCTTATCTCTAGAGTGCCTCTTAAACTCTTGGATATTTACTTCCTCTTAAGTAACCATTGGAATAAACTTATGATAAGGTGACTTTGTCATGACATCATATTTTTCTCAACAAATATAGGTGGTCCACTCCATCATTTATTGCATTCGGTGGCCAAGCTCTGGACAATATCATGGTTTTGTTTCTTCTCCTCCTACTCTCCTATCAAGGGGATTCCCCAACACACCACAACTTTTTCCTTCGAACACTTGTCATTCAGTAAGGAGCATGAGGCCATTTTGGTTCAGTTGTCCACTGACACATCATAATCAAATACACTGCCTTCTCATCAACCAGGGCTATGTTTTTTATGTGAAAGATTAAAAAACTGAGTTGAATGGGTATTGATGACTATAACCTTTGTAGGATTTCTTGTGAAGGATTACATGAAAAAGTTCAATTCCAAATGGGTATCAAAGACTACCAGACTTCAAAAAATCTTCATGACTAGATCATATTTGATTGTAATTATTCATCATATGAGAAAATATAACTGTCTATAGACACATTTTCTTTTCACGTACCAATAATTTGACCACAAATACTAGAATCTTGAAACACAAAACACTCAACTAATCTAGAGCTGCACCAAAACTATGAATATTACAGTACAATTTATAGAGCAATTGACAACACAGTATGATATTATTGCACATGATATCAATATAGAGTGATCACTACTTATCCTAGACTTGACCATGATAACAAATGAATGCCAACCAAATTCAATATAAAGTGATCCCTACTTACCCTATACTTGACCATGATAACAAATGAACACCAGTCAAATTCAAAACAGAGAAATACAGGAGGAAAAAAGCACCATGAGTGAAACTAGAACTGGCACTAGAACTGACAGAAGCATTGAAGCAGAGCGTTGCCCTTGATCATAGGGCACAGGAATGTAGGGATTTGGAGGAGCTAAAGTATAAGGAACTTGAGGGGTGCAGCACTCACCACTTGCAGGAGGAGGAGGAGGAGGGCATTTGCTAGGGTTTTTCTCTTTTGGGGGAGGGGGTGCTGCATATATAGAGTAACCATAAGATGATGGTGGTGGTGGAGCACCATAAGCAAGTGGTGGTGAGGGTTGTTGTTGACAAGGGTATTCACATTTGGAGCAATTCAAACATGTTGTTGGAGATTGAGTGGCATCATCCTCTGAAGCTTTAAAGGCAAAATTGGATAGATGAAGCCAAAGGGTAACAAGAACTAGAAGAAAATTTGTTGGGAACATTTGTTTTTCCATTGAATTAATATGTAGTTTTTCCTTTCTAACTAGAGAAAGGTTTAGAAGATTGAAGGACGCAGCTGATTATATAGACTATAAAAAGCTATATAAGATTATTCTTTTTCTATTCATTTTTGTAGATACCAAGTTCAGATATATATACAATCTGCATGTGTACAAAGGTTCTAGAGTTGTCACCCTTTTGCATACCAGATATGATGCCACATGGTTGAACATTTGTCATTATGATATTGAAGTAGTAAACAAATTGCAATAAGGTTGCATGTCTCTCAATGCTGACAAATTGTTAAATTATTCACCTTTTCTTTTCCTTATCTGTTTAAAAGTTTTTTTTTTTTTCTTTTTTCTGTAAGGGTGTTCTTAAAACTCATCCTTTAAAAATACAATTTCATTCACAGTGAAACTAATATTACAAGTAATCAAAGGGGGCCAAAATGAACCCACACTAGAATGGACATAAATAAGAACAAAAATCAGATCCTCAAAACGGTTATAAACTAGTGAATTTGACCTAAAAAATGCTCCAAATTTCACCATATATTATTGAGCTATTTTTAAGCGTAGATTTGCAATTTGAAAACATGAAGAAAGAAACCCTTTTCCGATTGCTTGAATTATTCAGTGTTGTGAGAATTATGGATTGAAGAACGAAGGCACAAGAACAGGTTCGAAAACGAAGGTCACAAAATTCTCTAACATGGTTCAATTTTTCACACCAAAGAGGACACAATTTAATATTCTAAAAAAAAAAAAGACTAACCAATAATAGATGACATATAAGTTCAAACAACTAAAATTCAACAATTAAAACACCATAAATCTAATTTTCAAAATTAATATCAATAATTTAAAATTTAATTCAATAATCAGAAAATGACAATGCAGGAATCCCAACATGTTTTACAAGAAAGAACTGTCAAAATCAACTTTTATGGATGACAAAGATTGATTTGGAAAACTTAAGAAGACTTGTTGAGTTCATGGCTGTTCAAGTACAGATAATTCAAGTCCTCCACGAAATATGATGAGACAGGTCGCGGAGAGAATCCATTATAGACTTTTTCCATCTTTGCCAAGCATAATTCAATCATGTACTTGAAGGGTTCATGCATCTCATTGAAAGGTTGCTCAGAAAATTCCTCGAATGGCATCCACTTTGTGAGAAAATTGATAACAGAACAAAGAATGTTTTAGTCAAGAGAATTCAATGTACCAGCAACACAGATGCAAAATATGGTCATAATAATAGTGCTAGTGTGTTAATGGATTTGAGTGAAACACACAATTCTAATATAGAATAACATACAAGCATCTTTTGAAGAACTTTGAACTAATCTATCATGCATGAGCACAAATTCCAATACTATAGTTAGTTCCACTGTCATTCTTCAACAACTTGAAGGACAACCATTGGAACCAATAGCGTATGTTGATATGAATGTTTGAACATGTTTATCATGTAGATAGTGGTGATATAATGTGTCACACTCATTAAACATAACTATGATTTGTTTGAGAAAAAAAAAAAAAAAAGGAATCCTTCTAGTCAAGTAAAGTGATTGTTCAGAAGTTTTTTGAACATTTGAAGTGTTTTCTGTTAGTATTGTCATAGTTCTTGTACAATTGTAATTTGTCGACTATTTTATGTATGTTGTGCACCTATCTTTCTAGAGTATCATTTGAGGTGTTTACATTAGGTAAACCAGAAGAAACAACATGATGTGACAAAGTGAAACAAAAATACCTGAGCTGCCTCAATTTCCAGATCTTGCTTTTTGATGTCAAAAGACAGAGGATGCAGCATGCAAACAAAAGATATATCTGATTTGCCAAACAATGAATTGTGTGTGTGTCTGAAAATCATAAACATGAGACTGTCAAAAGATAAATTACAAAGGGTAGAAGCAACAGAGCCATGTCAAGAGATGTTAGAAAATTTCAGTTTCTTTTATCTTGAGTTTATTAAGATGCTAGATTCCAAATCCAACCTAATGATTAGAAGAGAAAAAAAAAAGCAAGTGTTTCCCATGAACTTACAAGTACTTTAACTCAGTAAATTCTATTTGACATGGTGGTAGGAATTTTCCTTTCTAAATCCATGGATCTATTGAAATACCTCCTAAAAAAGTAATGACAAGACTTTTCTTCATTGTCAACTAAACCTTGGTGCTTTCTCTTTATATAAAGACAAGCACAAACTAAAGGGTATCTCTCATGTTTTAGGTTTTACAAATTAGAAAATTCATACCTGAATGCTAGTACTTCCAGAAATTTCGTATCAATCTGAACAAGAATAAAACAGACCCAAAATAAAAGACATGACTGAAATACAATAATACTATCTTTCTACAACATATTGGAATGCAATGTTGTACTCTGATACTTACTCCTGTCTCTTCTTTCACTTCTCTAATAGCTGCTTCAAAAATCTCCTCACCCTGCAGGTAAAAATCCATGTTTCAAGTTGCTCACAAAATAGTAAATTATTTTGAAGAATTGATGGAATTTGTCTTCAAAAGTGTGCATACTGCATCAACCACTCCAGTAGGGATCTTCCAAACACCAATCCCATGGAATCCACCTCTTTTTTCCTGGACCACAAGCACCTACAAGCCCACCACACCCCCAAAACAAAGGTAACAAACACAGAAAAAGGAATAGAATGCTGGCATGAAACAAGGTCGATTATTTGCAATAAAACATGTGGATCTACATAACCATTCATTGATCTCATTTCAGACCTCTTTCTTATCATTCAAGACAATAGCGCCAACTCCTACACAATGGGAAGCATTTGGAGGTATTGTGCAGCCAATTTTGGGAATCCAGTAAACTAGCATTAGATAGTTTGGCTCTGCATGGTGGTACCAAAAACCCTCCTGCCAGCAACATAACACACAAAGCACATTTTTTACCAAATTATTATCCATTTCAAATATCAAGATTCCATCAAGTTTCTTATGATTCGGTTATTATCACAAGTGAGAACAAATAAAGTAAAATAGAAACAGAAATTGATGTGATAGTCTTACACCTTAATCTAGTAGCTACCCAATGACCAAATTTGACACCAGATGCTTTGAATATGAAGTGTGCAAAATAAGGCTAACATGTTGCGTCATTCAAACATTAGACAAACCTTCCCATTGCATTTCAGATAAGAGAATAGAGAATATTAGATCATAGGTATAATTTTGTTAACACGGGTTTGTCCTATCTTACATTATTTTCACAAGTTTTTCTTAGTGTTGAACCTGAGTTGGTGTATGCATGATGCGGAACCATGCTAAAAGTAATTTATAACGAAGCTTTAAGAAAACAGGGGGGAAATTACCTTGACAGCAGTTTCAACAAGATTAACAAGCTCGATAGGCAACTTGATCCAAACACCATCTTTTCCCTGAAATGCATGCCAAAGTTAAATGAAGGCTGAATATGCAGCATTAATGAGGACTTTGAAAAGTATGGTTTTTCTTTTTTTGGATAAAAACATTCATTCGAAGAGAAGATTCATCTTGAGTTGAAGCGTGTGTGATGCACATTCATCAGCTGACTTCATATTGAATTATTTAATGGTTGGTTTTAAGCAAGGTTATTAGACTCGAGAGTCTAAGTAAACTCGTGAGAGGTCGGTATACTCGACTCATAAACTCGACTTGACTCGACTCGTAGACTCGTAGACTCGTAAGAGTTTACTTTATATAAAAAATACCAATTTAATAATAAATATAATAATATTAATTCTCATTATTAAAATAAAAACTTAATTGAATTTGTACAATAGTATAATCAAAATTAAAAAAATCTTAAATGTCTAAAATCTCTTCATCTAAAATCCCAAATCCTTTAATCTCTCAATCTAACCTGTTTTATCTATTCAAAAACCCTAAAATCACAAACCCCTCATCTAAAATCCCAAATCCTTTAATCTCTCAATCTAACCTGTTTTATCTATTCAAAAACTCTAAAATCACAAACCCCTCAATTCGTCAATCTAACCTAGAGGACGGTGCGCAACGACAAGCAACGACAAGGAACGTGACCACCGCACGACCCAAGTGAATGTCGTGTGACCACTGCGTGACCCAGGTGAACGTGCGCGACCAAGTGAGCGTCGCGTCACCACTGAGCGACCAAGGACAAGCACGCGGCCACGACGATGATAAGCAGCAACGGATAGTGGGAAGGAGCGAGATCTGAACTTATGAAAAAAAACGAGGAGAGTCAAAGAAGATTTAAGTTTTTCTTTTTCTTCAAACTCGGTGACTCGCCTCTAACTCGAGAGTTTACTTAGAGTCTACCGAGTTCACCGAGTTTGACTCAGAGTCTACTCAAAAAAGAGTTTACTCAAAAATTAACTCGTATCTGGTTATTTTACTCAGCGAGGTGACTCGAGAGTTTGATAACCTTGGTTTTAAGGTGTATGGTCAACAGAATCCAGAGAATCACTGCTTAGAAGAACTACATTAGCTTCAAATTTTCACTTGTGTAAAGAGGGGGCTCTTTAGTAAAAAATCTGATATCACACAACCATGTGAAGTAAACTATTTATTGCACCTAAAGAATGAAGGTGGCCAACTTTGACAAGTGGAAATAGGCATCACAAAATGAATAAACCTTTTTCAGACGAGAGCTTAATGTAAGAAAGTACCATTTTAGGGTCAAGATCATAATATTCACCTGTTTTTTCCAATGTAAAAGTGAAGATCTAAGCAAAGTAGCAAAAACTTCAGAGTCCACAGCCTCCTTTAAATCCACAATGACTCCTCCATGTGCATCATTGGTGGCTGGGAGAATTTTAACACATTCAAATCCATTCTCACACAGTCGATCCCCTAATAGTGGTGCTGGACTAGCTGAGACTGACATGGACTAAACTGCACAATAAAGAAAAAAAATGATAAAAGTCCAAAAGGAAGTTGAAATAAAATAATTTTTTTGAGAAGTTGAACACTTAATCCACATCTAGATTCTAGAAAAAGCTGCAAAATAGTTGAATCACAAACCTGTACATTGTCTAATAAAATCCACAAACTTGTACAACTGTACAGGTGGCTCCACCTAAGTTTAATAGGTAAACTTTTGGTGGAGATTTCCTATAGAGTGGCAAGATTGTGAATCCATGAATTATAAAATGAACAGTAGACTCACTTTTTATCCAAACCACTGAAGTAGCCTGCAGCTTTTGTTTTGGCACTTCTAGATAAACAAAGTGCTTACAATTGGTTTCAAGGTTACTGAGTCTGCTAAGTCTAAAAATCCATCACAGAATATAAACAATTCATTGACGAAATACCATTTCGAAATCATTTTATACTAGTTTGCTCTAGAAGTTCTCACTAAAATAAAACAAAAGAAAAACATAAGGCATATTGTAGAGAACTCTTCAGCCTCAAGTCTTAACCAAATCATATTCAGTCACACAAAACAACATAACACCAAGAAGAGCCATACCAAAGAAGATTTACCTTGAAAACAAACTCAAAAACGAGATGGAGATGAACTGAAAACTTGAGGATTCAGAGGCTAAAGTTTGGAAGTGAATAAAAGGGTACCACAGCCACAGGGGACATACACAGAGAGAGAGAGAGCACTAGCTAGTGGACCTTGGAGAGTTACAAGTAATGAGGCTGCAATTTATAACAAGCACGCTCACTCTGAGTTTCATGAGTGCGTGATGACGTGTTCCCACTGCACCCCTTTGTGAACTAAGGCTTTGCCATGTCTTCAATTCATTAGTAGCCGCCCACATGATAAACTTGGTCACTGGTCAGAGTAATAGCTGGTTGGGTAGTCAACAGCAACTCTTGCTGCAGTATGAACAAGTTCACCCTCTTCTCAGAGACATGAGTTTTGAAAAGGAAAAAGCTATCCCTTTGTACATATATATTTTTCAACAAGACCATGTTCAGAGTTCAAACCTTAGAATATCATCATCATTCATGACCCCCTTCTTAGGCACATGATTTTGAAAATGTTATCCCTTTGTACACATTTTTCAGCATGACCGTGTTCAGACTTCAAATCTCAGAAGACTCATTGACCCTTTGTCATCCCATTCGTGAATCATGAGGCTGTTTTGTCCTCCAAATACTGTTCCTGCTTTTATTTACTTGCACAAGAACGTATCCCGAAAACACACCAGGTCAAGGTGGAAGATTAACTAACATAAGTAACTATAAAAGAATTTATACAATAAACAATGAAAAAGGTCTTTAATATAATCTGACACATTTTATAAGCTCTTACAACAGAAAAACTTTACTTTTGAAAATAATTATTCTAAAATGAGGAGAATGACCCTTGATTAGTAGTAACTTGAAATTCAAAAAGAAAAGTTAAAATTGAAGATTTTGATGATGGACTAGTTAACACTGGTTTCCTTGAATAGAAATGGTGAGAGTGACACCACCAGAGTCAACTGAGAGTAACCCACAAGATCCATGAAATGAGTAACTGATATGGCACCACTAAGTCATGAGATGGTAACACCACCACCTCCTCATGGTCAAGAAAAAGAGAGGTAATTTACCACCACCAGGTCAACCCATCATAACGCCACCCCCTCATTCATCTTCAACAAAATCCAAAACACAAAAAGGGTCACATAACTGCCTCAAACATATTCTATTCCATGGATTTGTATAGATGTCAATTTAAGGAAAATAATTCATGGAAAGTCATCATCACGAGGACGAAATTGAATGGAATAGATATTTTCAAAGTTTGAATGAAAAATTCAAAGTTAAAACTACAATCAACATAATATATATATATATATATATATATATATATATATATATATATATATATATATATATATTTTTTTTTAAATAGCCATGTTGGGATTTTATTCAATCATAATAGACCAGTTTGTTTGTGTTTCTTTAATAAAATAAGTTTTTTTTTAATAAATTACGCATTATTTATTCATTTATTATGTGTTTATTTAATTTAGTTCTTTTAAAAATAAACACTTATATATGTATAGAAGATATTTATGAAAGATTAAAAAGAAAACTTTGAGTAATTTGTTAAAGACATTAAATTCTTTTTTTCTTCTCATTGTACAAAAAAAATCAATATTTTACAAATAAAAAAAGCATTATAATGCATATTTTAAAATTACTTATAACTTAAATAATTAAACCGATTTTTCTGTAAAATCATATAAAATATGTTTTTTAGTAATTTCGTAATGACAGCAATAAACATATATATCTCGAGTCTCTTCACTTTCTCTATCACTATTATGTATAAGAATAAAATAAAGTAAACATATATAAGTATACAAAATATTTTAATATATATAATCTAAAAATAAAAAATTGTATGTTAAATTATTATTGTAACAATTTTTTATAAATGATCTATTTTAACAAAATAAATTTATGTCTTTATAAGAATTTGAAAAAATAATTAAGAACTAAAATTTTTGAATTAACATTATATATGCTACTAGAAAAGTATAATAATATTTAATTTATTATTATTATTATAGGTTGTTAAATAAATGTTTAAATTAAAGAAAATATGAAGATCAAATTTTCTAATATTTTAATATATCGTAATTATAATTATTTTAAAAGAGAACATTTACGACAAAAAAAAAAACATATTTAACATGCAAATTTATGGATCACAACTACGTCGAATAGATTTAATTATCTAATTGACATATTAGATTATTTAACTTGTCAGTTTACCATTATCGTTAGGTAATTTTATAAGTAAATTTACTTGTATATCAAATGTAAATTTAATTATTAATATATTCTAAATTTCTTAATTAAATTTGCAAGATAAAAAATATTATAATAAAATATCAAATTGTTAAGTAAATTTAAATATATGTTATATAAATTAAGTGATTATTTTGGTATGACATGTTTGGTGAGGATTCAAATTTGTTTTCTTATTATGTTAATGGAATTAGTGTTTTCGAAATTATAAAATGTTATTGTTATGGTGTTTTATTACGTCACAAGTTTGGTCACTAATCATTAACACAACTTTTTGACAATCGAATTATATAATTAATATAAGTTGAAGTTTCAGAAACATCCAAATTAATCTATCTCCTTATTACATAATCCCCTGCTTAGATGATAATACTTGGCAACTTTATTACACAAATAAAATGCAACAATTCGAACTGGTCTCTTTTAAATCTTTATTAATTGCCAACAATTTACTTCATATTATAAAAGCTAGTTATTAACAATTTTTTTCATAAACTTATATAATAATATATCTATAATAAATAATATCGTGATCAATATTATATCTACCTATACAAATTCATTAAAATTAATTTATTTATTTAATTATCTTTTATTTGTTATAATATTTTATATTAGTTATTATCTCTTAGAATGTTAGTTATTATATTTTAGGTTATTATTATCTTTTGAATCCTATATAAAAAATTCAGGAGTAAATCTGATTTTATTATTTATTGTCAAATATATTACTCTCTTATCTAAAAGTCGACTTGAGCGTTGGAGTATCTTTTGAAGATGAGTTTCTATTCTTTTTAAAGGAAGTCATTCAACATTTTCAAAACTGAAAATGAAGTTGAAGCTCGAAACACGATCCACTGATCTTATCACATCCTCTTGCAAATCTCCACCAGTTCGATAAGAGTATTTGGCACCCATTGTGGAGCCCGATTAAACGATCCCCACTATCTCTTCCACTCTATTGTTTTAACCTTCAGGCAGACGGTGTCCAACTCCAACGACGACATGGACCTTGCAATCATCATCCATAGCCTCAAGAAGCATATGGATGAGTGTCAACAAAAGAATTGCGATGAGATAAAAAATTTGCAAGAACATAATGATGCTAAGTTATCACAAATCCAACAAAAAGCAGTTGAAGATTTGCAATTAATCTAAAGTCAACACCAAGCCGAACTTCAAACTATTCAGCAATATTGGACGAGTAGGTCACACATAAACTAAGAAGAAATTGTCACATCTGATGAAGAGTGAACTCAACAATCGCTAACATTGACTTATAGAAACCCAAACAAAACTATAAGTCAACTTGCACATAGATCAAACAATCCACCTAATCCAAGTGACAAAACACCAAGTCAAAGGAGGCAAAGTCACACGAAGCAACAATCCAACTCCCTCATTCAAGAGAATCTAAAATCGAAGTCTCACTCTAACTTCGACCCACACGTTCCCAACATACATAAAGGATTGAAATTCATAAAAAAGACAATGACCACTCATTCGTCCCAGTGATCATGGAGACACCTCTCCCACCTAATTGGGAGTCACTCAACATAGAGATATACGATGGTTTGGCAGATCCAGAAGATCACTTAGCAATTATAAGGCAGATGTAAAATTATATACCAACAACGAAGTCGTACTTTACCGAGTCTTCCCCATCACGTTCAAAACACCAACTTTACAACGGTACAATGTTTTACCCTATAACTCTGTTGATTCATATTATATGCTGGTGGAACAATTCCGAGTTAAATTCGTAACCAATAATAGACACGAAGCCACGTCGATGGCTTTAGAAAGCGTGAAGTAGGGTGAGGGCGAGTCCCTCCGTAGTTTCATGGATAAATTTGCCTGAGTATCAAACACAATATCAAATTTACACCCCAAGGTAGCCTTACACGCAATACTAGTTGCTCTATAACTCTAACCTTTGAGATGGACAACTGTTTCGCTTATCCATCGAGGACCTTTGATGAATTACAGGCTCGAGCAGCCAACTACATCCGTATGGAGGATAATAATGTCACATATAAGAGAACTCACACTAATCCTTAGACACACTCGACTTAACCCTTCAAAAAACCTAGGATAGCTAAATACGAACATTATACACCCCTCAATACCAACCGAGAGGCGATTATACAGGAGGCTTTCAGTTTGAAACTCATACACGCACCTTCATCACTACTGACCCTAACCTATGCAAATACAACTAAGTATTTCCGATTTCACCAAAATTATGGACATACTACCGATGAATGCTAAAAGGTTAAAGATATAACTGAGGAACTCATCCGATCTGGTTCTCTTAAATACTTCATTCGCAACGATTCAGAGTTGTAAAACCTATTTAAAAAATTATATCTTACTTAGGTTAACATGAGTATAAAAGTTGTACTTTACTCGAGGTCATACAAGTATAGAACTATTATCCTAGTCGGGATCACACGAATATAACCATACTCGGGAGCAAACGAGTATAAAACTATTACCCTACTCGAGATCGCACGAGTATAAAACTATTACCTTACTCGAGATCGTACGAGTATAAAACTATTACCTTACTTGAGTTACACAAGTATAAAACTTATCCTATTCAAGGTCACACGAGTATAAAACTATTACTCTACTGGGGGTCATATGAGTATAAAATTATTACCTTACTCGAGACCACACGAGTATAAAACTATTACTCTACTTAAGGTCACACGAGTATAAAATTATTACCTTACTCAAGGTCGCACGGGTAAGAAAGTATTACCCTACTTGAGATCACATGAGTATGAAACTATTACTCTATTCGGGGTCGCACGAGTATAAAACTATTACCTTATTTTGGGTCACATAAATATAAAACTATTACCCTACTCGGGGTCACACGAGTATAAAATGATTACCCTACTTGGGGTCACACGAGTTATATATACCTTACTTAGGTATACGAGATCACACAAGTAATACATACCTTACTCATATATAAGTTATCAAAATCTACATCCACCTTACTCGGGATTATAAGAGTTATACATCTCTAATTCGAGGTCACACAAGTTATGCATAACTGATTCCAATATGAGTTATCAAAACCTACATTTACCTTATGTCACATAAGTTATTGAATATCTTTGCATGACAAATAAATAAATTTTACTAAGTATATCTCACAAATATATCCTGATCTAACCAAATAATAGTT